AACATGCTTATTATTATATAAAATTGCATTTTATATAATTTATATATATACTCTAATTTTTTTTTAAAAAAAAAAATTTAAAAAAATCATGCTTTTTTTTCTTAAGCTTTCTAACATATGCTTTATTTTTTTATATCAGCTTTGATTTGTTTTTTTTACAAAAATTTTTTTTGTGTAATTATATTTTTAAAAAAAAAATTTTTGTAATTAAAAAAAAAAAAATATATTGTAAATTATCAAAAAAAAAAAATATTTTTTTAAAATAAAAAAACAAAAAATTATAATTAAAGCGTAATCGCGTATATAAAAAAACCCCTAATTATTATATTGTTCATTAACCAACCAAAAATTGTGAAAAATTAGTATTGTTTCTAGTAATCTAAACTTAAAATAATCATCGTGTTTTCATTGGTAATCTTTATTATAGGACCCCTGACTAATCTCGTCAGTATTAGTGATGATTATTCGATAATATCCCATATTAATTCGAAATTGGCACAAAGTTACACTTATTGTTACTTATTGTTTATCATCATGTCCATTTTTCCGAACGCGGTTCAATACTTACTAATGTTAATTTTTAATTTTTAATTTTTAATTTTTAATTTATAACTTTAATAAAAAACCTGATAAAATAAAATTTTAATCAATATCTAATTTATCGCCAATCAATGTTTATTGCTTATTAATTTGGAAAAAATATCCAGCTGATATCATAATAATTGACAGATAGATGATTTTTTATTAATAGTAAAATATCAACTTTAAAAATTAAAATGGTGTCATTCATCTATTTTTATTTTCTTACCCCAGTAAACACATTCAATTCAAAGATGGATTCGGTTATGATTTGCCCAATTGCATATTTTATTTTTGCCGTGTATTATTTTCGCGTAATATATATTAATGTTCCTCGGATCTTCCCCCAAAATTTTTAATGAATGAATAGTTCTTTGTATGTTAATTTACTTCTTCTTTAGATTATGGACCTTGATTGGAACCAAATAAGGTAGTCAATAGAAAGGGTTTTCATTAATACGCCGTCCATCTCTATTTTTTTTTTAGTATTGTTCTCACATTTTACTATTGTTTTTATTTTTTTTGTTGAAAAGGGTGTGGGTGGCTGGGAAAAAAATGATAGATGATTAAAGAAGGTTGGGTTGAAATATTAATAGATTTCTTTTGTGATTCTCTTTTTAGCATAATCGCTAGAAAAACATTATGTCATCCGTCGTCATACTACACACGCAATAATGATTTATAAATTTATCGAATCCATCCCAAAACGAATGATATATTACAAATTATGGAAACAATGGCTGTATCTCCATTGTCATTGTTTTTTTTTATTTGTATCTTCACTTTCTAAAAAATATAAATTAATTAACATTTATATTTTATATCACATGTTACCAATATCCATTATTATCCACAACTCACTTTGATTTTCATTTGGATCCTTTACATCCGGGTTTTTGAATAATTCACGTGCCTCTTTATATGGCCAGTCTTCCGGTATTGGA